CTAACATATTTGGTTGGATAGATGTGAGTTTGTGACCCTTTCAACATACAAATGCGTATGTATAGACATAGCACCACCCGTATACATACATATGTCATATCCGAAACTGCCCACATACGTTTATATATGTATGAGTCCCTGACGGACGACCAAGTATGTATATGTGTCTGCATACATCGATGTTTGCGTTAGTACGATGAATGACAAAACGACGAAGTTTCCCCCACCACTTCCACAATAACACCAATACACGCAATCTACATAAACACAAATTTTTTAAAACATTAATCAGTTTGTCTGACGATCGCTAAAGCGTGAAACCCAGGGTCACAAACTCACTATCTATCCAAATAAATATATATATATATATATATATATATATATATATATATATATATATTACTCCATAATAGCACACCCATATACATATATATATATATATATAAATATTAATCGTAAAGGGCATACCCATATATATACGATTAAAATATTCTTTAATATGCTGTCTCTTTTCAGAATGTAGGCAATCATGGTTCTCCATAACTTCCTATCCTTTAGTGCTCTAAGCAACGTTTACCTCTTTACCCTCACCCTCTTTGTCCCCGCTCCGCCATTCATTCACACAAAATGGCCACAGGTAGGCTACTCTCCATCCCACCCACCTGTTTCGCGTGTCTTCAATATGTCTTGCGATTATTAAATTCACCAACCTTTTTTTCCTCTGCGTCCAAGAAATTTTAACTGTATACTCTTTATCAATGCATTAGTGCTCTTTTAGTTTTCATTCTCATTTAGTTCATTGTATTTGCTTTTAACACAGTTCATATATTTCTCCTTCACATTCGGTTGATTCAGGGGTCTGCCGAATTGCAGTTTGGGTGTTGCCTTGGTCCGCTTCAATTTCCGTATTTTCTTTCTAAGTTTACATATAAATGAAAGGTGGTCACTCCTTTGGTTTAGTGTTCTGAATTATTTTTTTGTTTATTGCGAACTGTTGTTGGATGTCGGCTCTTACGGGGCGAGGAATTAATCCCAATAGACTTAACAGCCTTCACGCCATTATCTTCCATATTTTGATTGTTAAAGGAATGATTTTTCTTAGGATTGATAATGAAGTGGTTTCCTGTTACCAACTCCACGGTGATTTATTGAGACACTACCTCTATTTAGCTGGCCGTTGACTCGTCATATCTTCCGCCCTTTTTCATCCTACGGTGTTGCTAACAACAAGAGATTGGATTTGGGGTGTTGGTTTAGTCGCGGACTATCCGAGTTTAATAAGTTTTAATTTAGTAAAAGATTTAAACATTATTATTATTATTAATAATAATAATAATAATAATAATAATAATAATAATAATAATAATAATTCAAAATAACTTCTTACCTTCACTTTCTCGAGTTAATAGGGAGAAAGTACTATATGTATTCACCATTTAATTTCTGATTACATCCAAAAAACTTCATATCGGAATATCAGAAATTTGTATTTAAAAATGAAAAATGTATATTTTTTTCCTAGCACTTCGTGCCAATCTGCGAATGTAAATTATTTTTAATGACATATTTAATGAACATTATTTATATTATTCGCACCTATTGTCCTCATCTCTGTGGCCATATTTATTGCAACGTTTCGACCGTTGTACGCTCTGGCCTTCTTCAAGTGGTTGAAATGTCGAACTGAACTCTTTATTTCGCTCAGTTATCGGTTATCCCCTGTTAATTCCCCTCTGCAAGTTCTCCACTGCCTTAATCGAAACGTTGTAATAAATATGGCGACAAAGATGATAACAATGGTCCGAATAATGTAAATAGTGTACATAATACCTCATCTCAGAAATATAGACAGATACTGAAAGGCCGAAACGTTGTAATAAATATGGTGACAAAGAAGAGGACAATAGTCCGAATAATGTAAATAGTGTACATAATACCCCATCTCAGAAATATTGACAGATACTGAAAGGCCGAAATATTGTAATAAATATGGCGACAAAGATGAGGGCAGTAGTCCGAATAATGTAAATAGTGTACATAATACCTCATCTCAGAAATATAAACAGATACTGAAAGGCCGAAACGTTGTAATAAATATGGCGACAAAGATGATGACAATGGTCCGAATAATGTAAATAGTGTACATAATACTTCATCTCAGAAATATAGACAGATAATGAAAGGCCGAAACGTTGTAATAAATATGGCGACAAAGATGAGGACAATAGTCCGAATAATGTAAATAATGTACATAATAACTCATCTCAGAAATATAGACAGATACTGAAAGGCCGAAATATTGTAATAAATATGGCGACAAAGATGAGGACAATAGTCCGAATAATGTAAATAGTGTACATAATACCTCATCTCAGAAATATTGACAGATACTGAAAGGCCGAAATATTGTAATAAATATGGCGACAAAATGAGGACAATAGTCCGAATAATGTAAATAGTGTACATAATACCTCATCTCAGAAATATTGACAGATACTGAAAGGCCGAAATATTGTAATAAATATGGCGACAAAGATGAGGACAGTAGTCCGAATAATGTAAATAGTGTACATAATACCTCATCTCAGAAATATTGACAGATGATGATATATCGGAAGATATATGTAGATCTATTCTCACAGAACGGCCTAAGAAGCCAGATGCAAACGAATATAAACTACATCGGATAATCAACATAATGTGCCTTATGACAAAACATCCATTCAGCAGATTCAAACCTGAAATAGGACAAGAACAGTGTGGATTAGTTAAAGAGAGTGGAAAAAGGAATACAATATTTATGGTCATAATATCAAAGAAGGATATGTAATTGTGTTTTATAAATTATGCAAAAGCATTTGATAAAGTACATCATAAAACGCTGTTGGAACGGCTAGGTAACCTTGACATATTTGGGAAGAATATTAAAATAATCCAAAAGCTATAGTAACAGCAAACCGCCTGCATACAGATAGAAGAATGAGTTGAGCAATTATAGTAACATTGAAAGTGGTGTACGACAAGGATGTGTCTTCTTACCGGACTTATTCAGTATATAGAGTGGGTGATTCTCAGAAAAATAGAAGTCTTACCAGAATTCATTATTAGTGACCGCAATCTTAACATAAGTAGATAGCCATAGAAAAGACAGGAAATTATGGAGAACCATGAAAACTCACGTCCTGAAATGAGGCGGCACATAAAATTATATATATATATATATATATATATATATATATATATATATGTGTGTGTGTGTGTGTGTGTGTGTGTGTGTGTGTGTGTGTGTGTGTGTAAATATTTCGGATAGAGAATATCTATAAAAGGACAATAAGAATAAAAACAAAAGGAAAACTTATCTTAGTTGATGCATTTTGTCCTCTGGGATAAAGTCCCTTAGAAGACGAAACGCGTCGGCTAAGATAAGATTTCATGTTGTCTTTATTCATATATATATATAGCAAGGATTCATTTAAACAAGTTTTGTGAAATTCCATCGACAAGATTTGTTTTTTTAATTTCGATTGCATTCTTGTTATTTTCAAAAATAATCTTGTGGATTGAGAATAAACAATCCAAACTTCATGTTTTTGTTCTGTTTTTGTCAGTCATTCTCAATAAATTAATGTGGGAGACAAAACTTTGTTGGGATATATCCTAACGTGTTTTGTATATGTGACGTCATGTGTGCAAAGGATTCTTAAAGTTCGAGTGCGCTGAAAAATAATCATATCAAATATTTTAAGAGTATTAATATTATTATTTCATATGCATATTAAATATTATATACATACTTTAAAATAACTTCTCATGTAGGGTATACATACATACACACACACACACATATATATATATATATATATATATATATATATATATATATATATATATAAATATATTCGACGTATGAGAGTCAAGCAGGTCAGAACCTGCAACTCAGACACCAGCACATATGATTTTATTATAGTGCTAAATATTTTATGCCGAACCAACCACACTTTTTGAAAAGCAGAATACAGAGACCTGGTGCACTACGTGCCACAAAGTCCCCAAACAACACTCCGCAGGTTTTGAATTCAGAGTTATCCTACTCTTAGACCAGTTGCCATCCAAGGCTATAGAACCCAGTCTGCCCTGCTATTTAACCATAGCTGGAGGGAGAAGAAGAGGATTAATAACTTTCCCAATGGTATTAGCACGTAAGTGAATGTAATGGATTCGACGGGAATTCGATTCTTCAATCCGAGCCGCTATCCACTACTCCACCGTACCTCTCTCTCTTTCTCTCTCTCTCTCTCTCTCTCTATATATATATATATATATATATATATATATACATGGAAATAAGATCAAAGTTTTACATAGACTCAAGCACTGGCCAATGACTGGTTCAAGTGGAGACTTCTTGTTGAGCAATCTTTAGGAAACAGACTGTCGCCGCTTGGTGTCTTTTATATTTACATACGCTCTATCTCGAAATTTGAACACTCATAAACGCACTGAGCAGATATGAATGTACGTGAGAGAATCATGAAAGATTGTAGTTTAAAAGCAGTAAAAATCGACCTTGCTAACCGAACAATCCTCTATGGCCAATCGGTTAAGACACGTCAGGCTATATGACGGTTCCTTATAGGATACAGTTTCGATATATATATATATATATATATATATATATATATATATATATATATATATATATATATGAATAGAAGTTCAAACATAGATCAAGTATGGAGAGAATCTGAAAAAATGCTAGGATAAAGAACAAGTAGGAATCAGATCTCAATCTAACACGCTTCACTTTATTAAATCTTCGACAGATCAAGTTAGAAATGATATCTAACCAATAAGATATAAACACAACGTAATATTAATCTGTGTCTCTGACTTTTATCATTTTTTTATCATTTCTATCTTGACCTTTGACGAAGCTATAATAACGTGAAACATGTTAGATTAAGATCTGTTTTCTACTTGTTCTTTCTCCTATCATATGATCATATATAGAGAGGGAGAGCTAGATAGATAGATAGATAGATAGATAGATAGATAGATAGATAGATATCATCAATGTCATACGTACCTATGCATATAGGACGTATATATGCATCATTCATATCTCTGGACATGCGTTTCATTACTGTGTACTCACACACACACACAGAGATGTGTACAAATATATCCAGGTGATATATATATATATATATATATATATATATATATATATATATATATATATATATATATATATTCATTAGGCGTTAATATATGTGACTTATGTATGTGTATATAATTTAAAGTTACATGAATGAAGTATATATATATATATATATATATATATATATATATATATATATATATATATATATATAAAGAAAGAGAGAGAGAGACACAGGTATATATGTATGACTTTTCATGTGCAATGACTTACGTGCATATGAATGGATTACTGCGTAAAAATATATATATATATATATATATATATATATATATATATATATATATATATCCTTGTATATGTTTGTAAAGAGTGAAGTGTCTGAACCCGTCTGTCTGTTTACATTTTCCGTCTTTGTATGCCTATGTCGTGTTACACCAGCCGACAAGCACTCCACCCTCAAGATAAACCCACGTTAACCCCTATCACCTTTGTCGCTGTAGGGCCATCACTTTCACAAAGAAACATCTTCATGGCGGACACCTAATACACACCAGTCTTTGTCAAGTGCCAGTGTTTCATATAACAGCCATACCAGGCATTCCACGCTGCACACCAAATATCCAACTGTATCGAACTTGCCAAACAGTTCGCCGAATTGCCGTTACTTCTAAAAGAAAGAAGGAAAAAAAATCATTTAAATAGCTATGACATAGCCAAATTGTGTTTTATCTGGAACCAGTTTACCTGGGAGGTCAGAAATTTACGAGTATTTTAATGTTTATTTATATATACAGTGTGCGATGGATAAATTGTCTTCTAAATTAGGCAAAAATTAAAATAACATTGACATCACAGATACATTTACTAAAATTACAGAAAGATATCTTGAAATACTAAAGAGTAAATTTATTCAATTAAATCGACAATGGTTTCAACCACTGCCTCCAGATGACTTCAGGATCTCCTGCATCTGTTCTGCATGGTCTCCTTATTTTTGATGGTGGATGCTGCCATAATCCTTGCCTTTAGTTCATCTTTGGTCTTATAAGGAGTTTTGTTGGTCTCTCGCTCAACTACGCTCTGCGCATAATAATGAAGGGGGTTGCAGTCTAGGGAGTTAAGTGTCCAAATGTAAGGTGTGATGTGATTAAGTGGCATGGTGCAGTGTCCTGTTGCCAGACATAGGTTCTTCCAGCAGCCATCCTCTTGACCCAAGGCAGCGCTACTTCGAGGCCTTGATGTAGACCTCTGTGTTGTGTCTGAGGCCTTTACCAACAAATTCAGGAGTTCCTTTCTTACCATAACGATCAGAGTGATATTTCCGAGCTACCGTACCTTCGTAATCACTATTAGACTCATCCAACTCTTTCCGAATCCTCTGCACTCTCCTCAGATTTAAATCTGAAATGTTTGTATTGAGGCTTCCGGCGCGAATGCCAAGCAGTACGGCATTGCCGTTTCAGAATTTCTGGTGCAATGAATTGCGTCATGGTGCTCCTTTTCTCACAGACTGTGCCCAACTGACCCAACTATACGGTGCATCTACAGAATCAAAAACAAACATCGCGGATGTTCGAGATTAAAAATATAAAATTGTGACAATTTACCCATCGCACCCTGTATATAGGAAAACTATATATAATGTTATTATATATCAAGTACAGTTTTGCAAGAAAATAGTATGACAAAGTGGGAAGAGTAATCTTCTGACGCGATCCGTCCTTTAGGACTTAATCGGCATAAGTTTATATTTAGGTTGCACATGCTCAAGAAGGAATATATTTGCAGGAAAGTATTCACATGAACAGCAAAATACTTTTAACCTCCTCCAATAATATAATTATTTCATATTCAGTGCGAAACAAAAGTGATCCTTCCCGACAAACCCAAAGAATCAAAATATGGATTTCACTGAAATTCGAACTCGGCTCTCCGATTCATCAATCCGAGCCGCTATCCATTACACCACCGTAACAAAGCAAATTTGCCGTCTAAAAAATTATGTATACATTTTATAATATATAAATAAGAATTTTAGCGATTCGTCCTTTATTCATTGGAATAAGTTTATATTTAGGTTGATGCAAGATGAAAGAAACGCTGAGAATTTTGAATTTAAAAATAATTTTTTCAATATATTTTGTGGGTATATAATCTCACTGAATTCATTTAGATTGTTTTCTTCTTGTTTATGTTTCCATCGCTTTTCTTAATAAATATCCCACATTGTCATAATAAATATCCCACATTGTCATAATAAATCCACCATGAAATGTAAACCGTTCTAAGAATCTGTATGCAAATTTACTGTGAATGACCTTTCGAAACGATTCTAGTTATATATATATATATATATAATTCTTTTTTTTTTGCCTATACTCGGACGGTGTGAAAAAAAAAAACAGGTAGTACAATTTGTGAATAAAAAATATTAGACAAATTGATATCAGGAAAAAACTTCAATAAAAAAGAAAAGACTAAAAACATCCGTGTCGCTTGAAAATAATCAACCAGCTCCGCAATATCTAGCCAAAAGAAAAAACACCGTCAAAGTAACATAACTTGGAACGTAAAAGTTCTCAATACACTGAGTAGAGCAAAAACTAGAATACCTAATGTGCCAGAACCTATCTACCGAGGTTTCGCCTAACGGATCATCATGATAACTCTGGCACCTGATGATCCGTTAGGTGAAGTCTAGATAGATAGATTCTGGCTATTTTCTAACACACACACACACACACACACACACACACACACACACACACATATATATATATATATATATATATATATATATATATATATATATATTGCCAATTTGTGAATGGTAGGGATAATTCCAAGGAGAATAGTAATCAAAAGAGAGCTCAATATAGATTTAGATTACAGAGCATTATAATAATAAATCAAGAAAAATCCTTAAAGGTCCATTTTGGTTATAATTTATTTCGTGAATATTGTTAGATTCATCTCCTCAGATCGAAACAATTCATCCGAACAGATACACTAGTTTTTTGGGTTTTTTTATCTTTCTTCCCCTCCCCCTTTCTTCTCCTCCTGTTACTCTAATATATCTGTCCGGATGAATTGTCTCCATTTATTAAGACCTTTTCGGTCTGAAGAGATGAATATACAATATTCACGAAATAAATTATAACCAAAATGGATCTTTAAGGCTTTTTTTCCTGATTTAATATATATATATATATATATATATATATATATATATATATGTGTGTGTGTGTGTGTGTGTGTGTGTGTGCGTGTATGTATGTGTGTGTGTGTGTTTCAGATGTAGATTTTCTTCTTCCTTGTGCCATATCCCTCCAAGACGTGGGCGATCAGGGATCTCTACAACTTCTTATATTTTACAGCTCTTAGCATAGTTTTACTGTTTACCATCTCTCCTAATGCTCGTTCTAACAACCATTCACATAAGCTCATCAGGATGGTGGATGGTGGCCTTTTTACCTTCGATATGTCCTGTGCGTGTCAAATTTTCCATACCCTACTTTTCCATTCAACTGTCTCTTTCTAATTCTAAAGGGAAATAACTCTAATATCAATACCAAATACAATCATATAAGTATGACGGTGTGAAAAAGGGTGAAGCCCGGTTGGGTTTAAATCTTCACCCGGTCATGTACGATATGGGCGACATGAGATAGACAGTAATTTTATAATTTTTTTTTTCTAATACAAGGACCAAAAAAGAAATCCTATTCACAGTGGTCTTTTTCTCGTCAGCTATAACTGAACCCAGCAAATAGAGGCTTGGCTTCATTTCAAAGCAGCTTATTAGATGGCTAATAGTTCCCTCAGCGTTTGCACAAAGGAGATATTTTGAATCTGGCATACTCATAAAATTATGTACTTGGTATGATCTTGTTTGCAAGTTTACATCTTGAGTGACTAGGATTAATCCATCTGTTTCTGATTTCAAGACCTACGCACCACTGATGAGTTTTTTTCAACGTAAAGGTCTTATACAAGAAACAGATATCGAGAACAAGGTTTTTCTTTTCATTTGGTTTTAAAGTTAATTTTTGTTTTTTTCTTTTTGTTTAATGTTTTTCGTCCTATTTTTTCTGTATTTCTACAGTTGTAACTATTGTTCGAATTTTTGGTTTTCGTTGATAATTGAACGTAGCTTTTTGTTGGATTCATGATAATAAACACGCGGTGGCATCCACTACTTGCTTAATTCAAGACGTCTTTCAATAATAATAATAATAATTATTATTATTATTATTATTATTATTATTATTACCCATTTTTCTTGAAGACCTAGTTATGATAAATATCTTCAATGGATATCTTCCTCGTTCTGAATAGAACAGTAAAAATCTTTGTTTATCATTCTTTTTTTCTAAACACTCCTAAAAGTGTTTTGCCGGATAAAGCGTTGATATTTCTTCTCTAAATAAACAGTTTCGCAAAAATTTATGACCTCAAATTTGTGGACACTAAATAGTGTCATAGTTTCGTTATTAATGACGGTAATCTCCCTTGCTTGAGTCCTTTATAGTTTCCTTATATAGAAGCTCACTTCTGTCGAAATTTTAGGGAGATATAGGAATGGTAACGAAGTCGTTGTAACAAAAGAGTTTTCACTCTTTTGGAACTTCAGTTTAAAGTATGAATCACTTGATTAATAAGTTGTTGACACTGCTCATTTCTACAAAATCCAAAAGCGACTAATACATTTTTTTAATCAATCCACCCCCAAGCACTGCCTCTAAGACGTAAGGGGCGTGAAAGAGAATGAGAAAACTTTAGAAGGAGTCAAAAACCAAATCCTAAACAGGAATCAAGGACATTCTTCAAAAACTGGGGAGGGTTGTGAAGCGGACGATAGGCGATCCTAACTACTTTTTTTGAAGGAAATAATAAATTGTTAATAAAATTTCAGAGTTTAG